GTCTCTCAGCTTTCGAGGAAGGCTATGTCAGAATAAATCCTTCGAAGAAAACCCGAGAATAGAGTTGACATAAGTCAGTATTGACCTAAAAATACATAAGGACAAAGCATGGTCCAGTTGTTGGAAATGATTTCAGGCAGCCTTCTCCAACATGTGGCACAAAATGTGCTGGACTACAAATGCCACTGTTTTAGCCAGAATAACATTTAATTGGGGATAATGGGGTATGCAACAACATATATAGAGGATGCCATGATGGTAAAGCTGAGTTAAAGCTTAAAAGCCAACAAATTAAACTGGTTCTGGAAAAGAAAAGCTACCCTGTGTAACTGGCACAGCATATTTATTTATTTATTTATTTATTTATTTATTATTTACAGTATTTATATTCCACACTTCTCACCCTGCAGGGGACTCAGGGTGGATTACAATGTACATATACATGGCAAACATTCAATGCCATTAGACATACAACATATATAGACAGGCACGGAGGCAATTCAACATTCCAGCTTTCCAGCTTCATGAGAGTATGCTCGATTCTGGCCACAGGGGAGCAGCTGCTTCACCCTCCACTTGTGACATCAAGTTCTTCATGGAGTACTTCGTCATTCTTATGCACACTGCTGAAAGGTTTTGTGGTATTGTAAATTAGTTAAATTAGCCTCCCCGCATAAAGCGGTACCTAAAGTTCTTACTTGACAGATGCATCTGTCTTTTGGGCTGCATAGGTCAACAGCAAGCTAGACTATTAATGGTCAGAAGCTCACTCTGACCTGGGCTGGCTTTGAACTCATGACCTCTCAGTCAGTAGTGATTTAATGCAGCTGGCTACTAACTAGTTGCGCCACAACCCAATTCATAGATATCAGATAATCCAAACAACTAGTTCCCACAAGTATTCCAGATGCAATATAGTGTATGGATTACAGTTTAGAACTTTCTAACTTTCTACATGGAGTAATATAATAATGTCTTTGCCCATTTCAGCCACATGCTCTTGCCAGCACATTGCCCCTCTTGTATTATGACTTTATAATAACTGGTAATTTTGTTGAGCTACAGGGGAGATTCAAAACTGTATTGCCGCTATGTAAAAATAGTACCTGCTGTGCTCTTTCCCCATGCCTCTCTTTTAAAAAAAGAACAGATTGTGGTGCTGTTTCAAAATCACCTTTGTTCACCTTCAACACAAAGTAAATCTGCTCCTATTTTTCATCTACTTTTGATCACCCTCTAAAGCAGAGCATCAGAAAGCAAGAGCAAAATGCATTCTCTTCAAAAGCAAATCACTGAAAGAACTGGGAGGCAGGATGAAGCCAGAACAGGAGGAGTTCCCTGCCTGAGATATTCAAGGTGATGAAAGGCAGGGATGAGCTTGTTATGCTGTGACCCAACACACACAGTTTCTATCATGCTGCTATTAGTCTAGGGCAGCTGCCCACAAACAAGCCCCTTCCAGGACACGTTGTGTTACAGTTCCAATCATCCTCAACCTTCATAGGCAATCATGGAATCTGGGTAAAAACTATGATAGTGGAACATGTATTCCAACATAATAAAAATGTTGATATTTAGAGAAACAAATCTCAAAACAATCACAAAGTATTCTTGTTGCATGCCTTCAGATCCTTTTCAATTTATGGTAACCTTGAGGCAAACCTATAATATGTTTTGGGGTTTGTTTTGGAAAGATTTGTTCAGACCAAAGTTGTCATTGCCTTCCTCTGAAGTTGAGAGAGTGTGACTGGCCTAAGGTCAATCATCAAATGGGTTTCTATGGCTGAGCAGGGATTCAAATCCTGATCTGGAAAGTTGTATTTCAACATTACACCTCACTGGCTCTCTTATTGTAGTGATATTGCAGTAGTTGAAATATAGAGGTCCTAATCTAGTTCTAGCTTCCTAATGAATGCCTGGAATACATATGTGCATACCAATCTTGTATCATGTTCAGTGATGACCACAGGTATGCATTTGCCTTATAGAGTATTCATGCTGTTATAGTGTGACAAGCAGAGAGAGTGGTACCAGATAACAGAATTTCCTCAAAGTATTAGAGAAGTAGGAGCCCCTGGTGGCACAGTGGTTTAAACCCTTGTGCCGGCAGGACTGAAGACCGACAGGTTGCAGGTTCGAATCCGGGGAAAGTGTGGATGAGCTCCCTCTGTCAGCTCCAGTTCCCCATGCAGGGACATGAGAGAAGCCTCCCACAAGGATGGTGAAACATCAAAACATCCAGGCATCCCCTGGGCAATGTCCTTGCAGATTGCCAATTCTCTCACACTAGAAGCAACTTGCAGTTTCTCAAGTCGCTCCTGACACACACACACACACACACACACACATTAGAGAAGTAGGAATACATGCTGTGAAGCTTGTGCAAATCCATACTGTTTTGTCTACCTTAATGTATATGTAACAACATAGCCCATTTTCTATCTAATCTAGTATTGTCAAGTCTGACAATCAGCTCTGGCTCTCCAAACTGTCTGTTGAATTCTTTCCTGGCCATATTTGGTGATCCCTGGTAGTTTTCTATGAGACCAGGTCTGCCCATGTACCTTCCAAAGTCATAAATCACAGAATATTAGTTGTTCAAGGTGGTATAACACTCTCAGGGAGTTGTGGCATTTTTTTAACTAATGAGTTTGTTTAGAATGAGGTTTCCCTTTCTCATACAGTCCAATAAACCTTAAAAGTCTGACTTGGTTCCCATCCTGCGAAATCCAGAGTGAACAAAGTCTATGTGGCTTCTTCCAATTCTGACTGAGAGATGGATGGCTCTGTGGAAGGGACCAGGCAGAACCTCAGAACAGGCTTTCAGTTCCTATCTGTAATTTGCATGGTTGGGAATCTTTTGGTCAAATGTGGCAAAGTGCCAATCAGGCAGCTGAAAATCAGGACCACAGAGAGCTCCCCAAGAAGTGTATCTCAGTGATCATCAGATGATATTCAATGGGAAGCAGACAGTAATTTCAGTGCTGACCTGAGCCAGTTAATGATTTATACAAGGTTTCCACATGGAGATGCCATAAATCCTGGAAATATTACTTTTTTTTAATTCCATTTCCCAAAATTTCCAAGGCAGCTTAGCTACTAGACATAGGGTTATGGGACTTATAATCAGAAAAATAACCTTCCTGGACTGTGAAATTCAAGAACAATTTCCTCATATTGAGTGATTACTCTGAGACTCAACCCCTTCTCTATTACAGCCATGCTTGTCAGTCAACTCTGCCCCACGAGTAAAAGAGAAACTTACTGAATGAATGACTTCCATGCCATAGTTGTGCTGGAGGACCTAGGAAATCCTAGAGGTCCTCCAGCAGAAGCACACCATAGAATCATCTGGTGAATCAAGAAAATGCCTAGGAATTGCATACATTGTCAGAAGAGAGCAAATGAATCTCTGGGTTTTGGCCCAACAAGTACAGGGGTTGCTCTATAGAGTGTGGATTTGAACTTGGCTCTCTCAGGCCTAAATCCACCATTTTGTCCATTACATGATGTTCCCCTGCTGGCAGAGTGGGTTAAATTGCTGAGCTGCTGAACTTGCTGACCAAAAGGTCAGCAGTTCAAATCTGGGGATCAAGGTGAGCTCCCACAGTTAACCCCAGCTTCTGCTAACCTAACAGTTCAAAAACATGCAACTGTGAGTAGATCAATAGGTACCACTCTGGTGGGAAAGTAACAGCACTCCATGCAGTCATGCTGGCTACATAACCTTGAATGTGTCTATGGACAATGCTGGCTCTTCAGCTTAGAAATGGAGAAGAGCACCACATCCCCAGAGTCGGACATGACTAGACTTAATGACAGGGGAAAACCTTTACCTTTACCTATACATTACATCACATAGGCTCTTGTTACCCAGATCAGTGAAAACAGCTAGGTCCTGTGACATCCAATGGTGGCTTGAGTGAGAATATTATTTACAGTGCATGAAAAAATTCCAGTCTGGGAATCAGCTGATAAAAAGATATTCTTGTCCGAATGCATCTATGCCCCACCTTGTAATTTAAGATCATCTGGCGAGGCCCTGCTCTCACTCACACCAACATCGCAAATGTGTCTGGTGGGGCCTCATCCCTCCTGGCTTTCAGGAAGAAATTAAAATCGTGTTTTTGGGACCAGGCTTTCAATCAGCAGACATAATTAGCACTTTAGACAGACATTGACTGGAATGGAATGACAACACAGCTGATGAGACTGTTTTATTGGTTTAATTAATGTTTGATGTATTGTTTTTATTAATGCTTTATGTATTTTATCTATTGTTGTATTATTGTAATTGTTTATATGCAATGGCATCGAATCGTTGCCATACGTAAGCCGTCCTGAGTCCCCCTTCGGGGGTAGAGAAGTGACGGGGTAGAAATACTGGAAATAAATAAATAAAATACAATATTCAAGCTTCAAGCCTGCCCAGAGAGATCCCCTTCTTTGAGAGGACTGCCCCTGATGCATGCTGCTAAGAGAAATGTTCTTTGCACATTTCCAATGTAGATAAATATTTCAGTTGTGCTGGAAATTATTTCTAGAACTGAGGTCACAGCGTTCAAGATTCAGCCAAGGTCCCAGCTCAAACTATCCATTCTGTTTTCCAAAAGCTCCTTCTCTCTTTCCTTCCATAATACTTCTTGTTCAGGGAAACAGATAACACATATAGACCCAGCCATTAAATTTCAGCCTTCCCCATCCAACATCATCTGTGCCCTTTAAAACCTCAGGACGTCTATAAATAAATGTATATTCAGATAACCCAAGCAGCAAGCAAAAAGCAATCATCCATGAAATCACTGGTTAAGCCTAAAATGACAAAGCTAGGGACTTCTTCTTCTTCTTCTTCTTCTTCTTCTTCTTCTTCTTCTTCTTCTTCTTCTTCTTCTTCTTCTTCTATTTCAAGAAAAGACAAATGCATAAGATTTCTTTCCTGTTTTTTCTCCCCTTTGCAGTGCTGTGAAAAAAAGAATTGTGCTTTATTTCTGTCATCCTAGGTATTTTGGAAATATTTGCCGTGTCTCAGGGGATTGTAGGAATACGAGGAGTTTTCAGCAACAAATTTTTAGCGATGTCAAAAAAAGGAAAACTCCACGCAAGTGTAAGTAAAACATCAATCTCATTCACTCAAACTGCCTTACCAAGATAATGTTGAAATATTTTTTTGTGGGAAAAGAGTTTGAATGCCTTATCCTAATCCTGTATGGTGTTCAGTCTTCATATTAAATATATACACACACCAGCCATGTTTAGCAACCCAAGAGAGACTTGATAAATCTCTTAATATTGCTGTCTGCACAAGACTGCAGGGTTCTTGATATTGTTATTTATTTATCGTATCAGAAGCGAATTGAGGGTACAATTATAATGCATCTAAAAACACAAACTAAGTTAAAAACTTTGCATTATGCTAAATGTCCTTTGAATCTGGCCTCTTGGAGTGCCTCTTGGAGGGCCTCTGGTGTTGCTGTGAATCTGGCCTCTTGGAGTGCCTCTGGCGTTGCTGTGAAGAGGTCCTCCATTGTGCATGTAGCAGGGCTCAGGTTGCATTGTAGTAAGTGGTTGGTCTGTGGTTTGCTCTTCTCCACATTCGCATGTCATGGACTCCACTTTGTAGCCCCATTTCTTAAGGTTGGCTCTGTGTCTCATGGTCCCAGAGCACAGCCTGTTCAAACACCTTCCAGGTTGCCCAGTCTTCTGTATGCCCAGGAGGGAGTTTCTCATCCAGGATCAGCCACTGATTGGGTTTCTGCCTGCCACTTTTGGACTCTTGCTTGCTAAGGTGTTCCTGCAAGTGTCTCTGTAGATCTAAGGAAGCTCTTTCTTGATTTAAGGTGTTGGCATGCTAGCTGATACCCGAACAGAGGATGGGCTGGAGGTCAATACCTGTGTCCTTTCATTACAGGCTGTTACTTCCCGACAGATAGTAGTTTGCTCTCTGTTGAACTAGCAGAGTGGAGAGGAACAGGTGGAATATCGCCTTTCCCAGTAGTAGGCTCATGCAAAAGCAAACAGCTGTAACTTTTCCTAATTATGTTTTTTTTTCTCTCCATGGATGGCTTTCACCACATTTTCTCCATGGATAAAAATGTGCATTTCCCAGCAATGGTTGCTGTGCGTCTTCAGGTTGAGAGTGGCTGGTATTGCAACACCCTCTTATAATGTTGAGCCTTTTTAAATATGGTTTTCTGTGGATGAGCAGATGGTGACTACTACGTAGATGGCATATGTTCTGTATCAGAAACTAGAGCTGACATAGTCTATCCAATGCAATTTTCTGAATCAGCACCCCAAATAACCAAACTGAATCTAAAGATGACCAAAAACTTATTCACAACCCTTTTGGTAATAATGTTGGAGAGTGGTCCCTAATCAAAGTGGTCCCTGGTCAAAAAAAGGTTGGAAACCACTGTTCTAAAGAAAACCTATCATCGTTTTGGGGAAGTGGGGAATTGTTTAAAGGGAGGCTGCCTTGGCTTTCCTCTGAGGCTGAGAGAGAGTGACTTGCCCAAGGTCACTCAATGTGTTTCCATGGTTAAGTGAGATCAGAACTGGTTTTCAATATCATCGTCCAATGCTCAAAATGCTACAATACCTTCTGCTTTAAAAAAAATGCATGCATTGTGTTGTGTTTACAAAACATTTTGTGAACCTTCTAGATGTGTGTATTTTGGAGGCAAGGTTTAGCTTGTCCCAAAACGAGATGCCCAGTGGGTAATTTTGGCAAGAATTTCACTGCCACCTAAATGATTTTCTGTCCTTAACAATGTATCCCCTATAAGGCAAAGTGCTACAAAAGAAGCTTTAGCTTGTCATGCTTTAAGAGTGAACAATAGATTTGATATAATTCTACTTAATTTGTAAATTTCTGTGTGGATTATCTCCAAATTCCAGAAAATGTTTTGTCAAAAAAAAAATTCTGATCACAAGGCATTAAAGCCAAGTTTAGATGAAGGCTTAGAAGGCATGAGCATCAAATTTGCAGATGACACTAAATTGAGAAGGATAGCTAATACTCCAGAAGACAGGAGCAGAATTCAAAATGATGTTAACAGATTAGAGAGATGATTGGCCAAAATGAACTAAATTAAGTCCAACAGCAACAAATGCTAGATACTCCATGTAGGCAGGAAAAAGGAAATGCAAAGATACAGAATGGGAGACGATTCCTGGCTCAAGAGCAGTATGTGTGAAAAAGACCTTGGAGTCATTGTGGGGAACAAGTTAAACATGAGCCAACAATGTCATGCAACGGCAAAAAAGGCCAATGAGATTTTGGCCTCAATAAATAGGAGTATAGTGTCTAGGTCCAGGGAAATCATGCTGCCCCTCTATCCTGCCTTGATCAAACCACACCTGGAATACTGTGTCCAATTCTGAGCACCACAATTGAAGGGAGATATTGACAAGCTGGAATGTGTCCAGAGGAGGGTGACTAAAATAAGCAAGGGTCTTGAGAACAAGCCCTATGAGGTGCGGCTTAAGGAACATGTTTAGCCTGCAGAAGAGAAGGCTGAGAGGAGACATGATGACCATGTATAAATATGTGAGGGGAAGTCAGTGGGAGGAGAGAGCAAGCTTGTTTTCTGCTGCCCTGGAGACTAGGATGCGGAACAATGGCTTCAAACTACAGGAAAGGAGAATTCATCTGAACATTAGGAAGAACTTCCTAACTGTGAGAGTTGTTCAGCAGTCGAACTCTTTGCTCTGAGGTGTGGTGGAGGCTCCTTCTTTGGAGGCTTCTAAGCAGAGGCTGGATGGCCATCTGTCGGGGGTGCTTTGAATGTGACTTTCCTGCTTCTTGGCAGGGGGTTGGACTGGATGGCCCACAAGGTCTCTTTCAACTCTATGATTCTATGAGTCTAAGCTCTCTAATATATAATGGCTTGGATTTAGTTTAAAAAGTGTTTTAAGGGATATGTTGTGCTGTATACTTTTAATACGATAAACTTGTTTTCAACCACTTTGGGCTGTCTTCAAAGCTGGTGCTATAGCTTGCCCATCATCTATGTGAATATAAGCAATTTCTCTCGTTTCTAATATAAAATCATTTTATTACTCCATGTTAAAGCAATGACTTATAATTTTGGGGCTGCCAAAATTAAATTAAAGCCCTTTCTTGATTCATGGTTGATGGCTACCAGCCACTTGTGTTATAGGTGGACACAAGTTAAGATAGGTCAGCCCAAAAGGTTAGGACCCAGGGCTCCATCTGTCAAATGGGTGCAAGAAATTAGTTGAAACCGGAGCCAAATGTCTAAAGATCACTAGGCTAAATAATGCCGATAATGCAAAAACAGCATCTGCTGTTCTTTCCTGCTTTGGCAGGATGAAGTTATTTTATGGACTAATGAGTTCGAGGAGGAGAGACGAGTGCTGTGCTTGTCACTCAGGCAGCTCTTTGATACCAACAACGTTTTGATTGCTTTTAGCTGAACTGAAGATAAACCCAAGTCCCAATGTTATCTGGAGAGGAGGGGAAGGGATGCAATTCTATAGGTTCTGGTCGGCCTCCCCTTTCTTATCTCAGCTTCAGCCTTCCATTTAGGTAGTGATTTAATTAAATTATAGGAACAGTTTGTTTTTAGTAAGGAAACTGGAATCAAAAGCAACATTAATCCTGGCAATTATCATATTCCCACACAGATGGCTCAATTTTCATTCTTAAACACACACACACACACACACACACACAGATTTTATATTCTTAGGGATGCAATCTTGTTAACCCATATGTCCTCCAATGTTTCACAAATGCAAACTATAGCTAAGGAACCTCTGAGGGCCCTTCCACACATAGTCCTATATCCCAGAATATCAAGGCAGAAAATCCCACAATATCTACTTTGAACTGGGTTATTTGAGTCCACACTGAGTCTGACTTGGCCACGGTGGTCCACGTTCTTGTTACATCCTAAATAGATTACTGCAATGTGCTCTACGTGGGGTTGCCTTTGAAGACTGTTCAGAAGCTTCAAATGGTCCAATGGGTGGCACCCAGGTTACTAACAAGAGCGGCGCTCAGGGAACACGCTACTCCTCTATTGCGTCAGCTCCACTGGCTACCAATTTGCTACCAAGCAGAATTCAAAGTGCTGGCTTTAGCATATAAAGCCCTAAACAATTCTGTCCCAGCTTACCTGTCTAAACATATCTCCTCCTATGAACCATCTAGGAGCTTAAGATCATCTGAGGAGGCCCTGCTCTCGATTCCGCCTGCCTCACAAGTGTGATTGGCAGAGATGAAGGACAGGGCCTTCTCAGTGTTGCCCCCCCCCCCCCCCCGGCTATGGAACTCCCTCCCCAGGGATATTAAATTGGCCCCCTCCCTTCTGACTTTCTGAAAAAAAGTAAAGACCTGGCTCTTTGAGCAAGCTTTTGAGAATGCAGCGGAATAGATAGCATGGAACTATGAATGATGAACATGGAATGGTCAGACGATGTTACTGGATAACGTTTTTAACAGGATGACACCAATTATTATATGCTTTAACGGTTTTTATACATGTTTAATATTGTAATGTTGATTGTTTTTAATGGCACTTTTATGAATGTCTGACATTGAATTGTGTCAATGTGTAACCTGCCTTGAGTCACCGTATGGCTGAGAAAGGCGGGCTATAAATATTGTTAATAAATAAATAATAAATATAACCCAGTTCAAAGCAGATGTTGGGGGATTTTCTGCCTTGATATTCTTGGATATAGGTCTATGTGGACGGGCCCAGAGTGTGATCAGGATGGCAATTAATAAGGAAAAACAGGCAAATTTGGAGAGGCTTCAACATTTGGGACCCACTTACCTTTGTGACCACATTTCCTTCTACAAACCTCCATGATCCCTTCGATCTTCCGGAGAGGCCCTTCTCTTGGTCTCACCCCTGTTGCAAACACGACTTGTGCAGACGAGGGAGAGGGCCTTCTCTGTGGTGGCCCCTTGGCTCTGGAACTTGCTCCTCGGAGAAATTGGGCAATTTCTTTGAATCCACACTGTCATATAATCCAGTTCAAAGTGGGTTTTATACAGCTGTGTGGAAGGACCCTAAGAATCTCAAAGTTTCTTAGGCCCCTTCTACACTACCATATAATCCGGTTCAATTC